TAATGGTCCGACACCACGTTCATGCCATAAAATGGTATTCGATCCAGTCAGTGAGAACATTTTTATGTTGGGTCGTTATTTGGACAACTCCATACGGACAACCGAATATATTAAAAGCGATTTCTATCTGTATGATACACGTGCCAGAACATGGTTACAAATATGTGATGACACCTGTCAGGTTGGTGGTCCTCAACTGATGTACGACCATCAGATGTGTATCGATGTGGAAAAACGAACAATTTATGTATTCGGTGGTAAGGTGTTGACACCGCGTAGTGTCAATGCTTCGACCACAAGTGAACCCGAGTATTCCGGCCTATTTTCCTATCATATTGCCACGAATACATGGACACAAATTCTGGTCGATTGCCATCATCCGACGGCATCCCAGCCGGATGTATTGTCCATTAAATCCCGTATTACCCACTGTATGGTGTTTCATAATGTAGGTTGAAAAATATTGCAATTTGTTGAATTTTGCTTTAAAAGGGAAAGTATTAATTTATTATTGTTTAGAAAAAACGTAAATTATATATTTATGGTGGCCAGCGTGGCAAGGAGGATATTCATGATTTTATAACATATAAAGTTGATACCCAAACATTGGAGATTTTAAATAGGCATCCCAATTCAAATGACCAAACTGGTTCGACTGGTAATAATAATGGTAATGGCAGCAGTGTGAGCAGTAATAGTGGCTCGTCTGGTTCCAGTAATCCGCCACATTCTTCCGATGGTAAAAATGAACCCTCGCCTGGTTATACTCTGAGAGCCACCATCGACTGTGAACGCAATGAAATCTATGTCTTCTCGGTGAATATTACTTCGCTCTAGGAAGGTTATCATATTTTTTATATAAAATCTTTTTTTCTTACAGAGTCTTAGCAAAATCAAAGATCGTCGCGATATTCATCACGTTGATGCTTCCAATTCATTTTGGGTTTATTCATTAGATACTCATCAATGGTCGCGTATTTATACTAGCCGCTACAATCCATCTTCGCCTGATAGTACAAAATTTGATAATAGCCGTAATAATCTTATGGAACCCTGTCCTCGTTATGCCCATCAATTTGTCTACGATGACATGGCCAAATTACACTATATGTTTGGCGGTAATCCGGGACGTTCAACAACACCACAGCTGAGATTAGATGATTTTTGGATATTAGAATTGGAAAAGTAAGTTGAAAATGGAGGAGTTTCTCATAAAAGAACTTAGGCATTTTCATCATGAATAGGACGAAAGTCTCGACAGTCTTACTCAATTACGCGGACTTCGCAGTTGCTTCATTCGGGGACCTTCACCCCAGTTCATCCCAGGAGGAATAAGTAGTGATGATGGGAAAGATATTATAGCGAAAAAAAAAACAAAAAGGTTGTAGAAATGTATTGCTAGTAGAGTGTTTTTTCAGGAGATGCTTTGAGCCAACATATAAATGATGATGACATCTACATCTATGAAGAACGTTTTCGTTCTATCTCCAACATATGAAATAACCTATGCCTCCTGTTTGATAACATGGTACATGGACATGGTAGGCGTTCAATCGTCTCAATCTTATCTATATCTTCACATAGTCTACAGTAGTCAGGCCAACTGATATCCATTTTTGAGGTCTGATATCTGATACTGGAGTGGCCAGACCGTATGCCTACTACGATTCTTAGATCTGATCTACTAATTCATAAAAGAGAATAGGTCATATTCTGCTATCTTCTTCGATGTGAGACTTTTTGAAGCAGCTGATATAGTAGCTTATCTGTGGATTGACAAGCTCATACATCGGTAGATCAATCGATTGGGAACTACCTCGAGATAATTGCTTAGCCATCTCATTACCCACTTTGTTGTTGTGTCTTGAGACCCAACAAAGAATTCTTGATTTTGTTCTTTTTATGGTATTTTATTTAGGACTTGTTATCACAAATATTTTCGGATGGGATCCTTGGGACATTTCAGGTTTTTTTTTACCCTGAAGTTGAGATCATGAAATACCTGTGTCTAAGTTTCTAGGACAGGTCAACATTATTTTCAATTTCAATTTTTCTCTCTTTGCTCCAGACCTAAACGTGACGAAATTTTAAAACATTGTCGTTATTTGTTGCGTAAATTACACTACGAAGAAATGGCCAAGGCTGATCCATATAAAGCAATGCACTATCTAAGACATCAAATTGCTGAAGTGATTGATCACAGTAATCCGGAACAATTGAGAAACGTAAATATAACTAAATTCATTCACCACGACGCCAATGCTGATATACTTTTTTCTCCAAACAGTTCCATAGATTGGCTTCGTTGCTTTTTAAATGCGATGAAGATACTAAAACAGAAGAAAGGCCTTTAAACACACTGCCATTGGGAGGAGCCACAACATCCATGGCGGCATCGACATCGGCGAATGAAGACAAATCGTTGACAGAAGCCGAATGTAGCTCCGACATGGCCTCAACTACGGATGATGGTAAGAAGTTTGACAAAAAGAAGAGCAAAATATTTTAATTGTATTCTTTCATTTTCTAACCACTAGAAGTTTGTGTCAAATCCGAGGACAATACTCATGCGCCCGACGATCTTTCCATGGAGTCCTGTTCAAGTTCCACTACCTCAGGTATTTCTGATGCGGCTTCGTCATATTCAGCCTACCGTAAATCGGGTGGTAAACGTTCTCGCCACAGTTATATTCAGGAACTACGGGCACGCCGATCGTTCCTTTTCAATAAACTTGTTCAATTGATGCCTTCAAATATGGTACAACCAGAACGTAATCTTAGTGATTTTGTAATAATCTAGTGAAAATAATGTCCTCCAACAACTTTGTGGGGAAGAAAACTTGATGTTGAAATGTATTTTGTAATGCCTTTGCTAATCAACAATTGTAATTTCGTTCGTTTGTTTTGTTTGCTTTGTAGAACACGTAGAAAGAAAAAGACTTAAATTTTGTTAACTTTTAGTTGTAATTCATTCTTTGTTTTTTATGTTGTGTTAAATGTTTAATCTTTCTGTTTTTTTTATTCCTCATGAATTTATGTAAGGGATCCTAAAATGATTTAAAACTATAAGAATATATTGCCATTATTATACATTAGTTACATTTTGTTTATAAATATTACTCCATTATTAGTTTATTTTTATATACTTTTTTTTATTGTCTTCAAACCCAAATTGTTTGGTATTGTGATGATTATTCTAAAAGAAACAAAAACAAACCTGTGAGAAAAGTCATTTTGTTTTTTGTATTATTTACTGTTTTTTGTGTGCGCCCTTTTTTGAAATATTTTTAAGAATATTTTTATTTCTCCTATTTTTGTACTTCCGGCAGCTATAGTGAGTGAGAAAGAAAAATCAAAAACAAAAAGTTTCCAACGAATTTTTGTAAAACTCATAAAAATTATTAAAACTGATGAAAATGTAAAACAATTTAGTCTTAAGTAGAATTTTAAATGAATAAACTACAGTAATTTTTCATACTTTAATATTAAAATTGATGAAGAAACGTTTTCTACTACTTTTGTACTTTCCCAGAGAAAATGCAAATTTGGAGGGAATAATTTGTTGTGGACGACTGACTAAACTACAGGGACGGGCTTCACACTTCACTCGTTTTTAATCAAAAGATTCATGTAGATTCTGCTTTCCACGCCTGATCGGGGCGAGATCTATCCACCTGTAATGATTTGGATAAAAAGGGGAAACCCCTGTAGTTGTGGTAGCAGCTATACCAACTTCAGACTGCTGTCATTCCTTAGCCATTAGTCCGACAGCTGTTAAAATTATAATAGTGACAGCTCATTATATTGTTTACAAGCGTACAAACGCATTTTGGTGAAAATTTTACAGAAAAAATGTTATTCGTGATGGAATTCATGCGTGATAGTGTGATTTACTTATATTTTACTGGAAAACCACAAGTGGCTTTCGTTAGAGCACTCCAGAATAAATATTTTGTGTCTCGTACCATCGCTCGTTATCGTGATACTGGTAGCGTATCCCTACGTCAAGAAAGTGGACGGCAGAAAACAGCAACATCAGCAGAAATGGTTCGAAATGTAAAGAAGCGACTTGATCGAAACCCGCAATATTCCATCCGGCAAATATTAAAAAATGAGCTCGGGGTAAAGCCATTGAAATTACAAAAAGTGCAAAAACTTACACCGCGACAGAAAGAAAATATACTCAAAAGAGCTAAAGAGTTGCTTCGCTTGGCCGAAAGTGGTGAACTGCCGAATTTGGTTTTCTCAGATGAGAAAACATTCCAGTTCCAACAGGACTCAGCACCATCATACCCAGCACGCGCTTCCCAAGAATGGTTACAAAATGAGGTTCCTCCATTCATTTCCAGCGCACAATGGCCACCAAAATCTATGGATATCAATCCGTTATACTATTGTGTCTGGAGTATTTTGGAAAGCAAGTTTGGCACTAAAAAATACCAAAGGTTCCTTAAAGGATTTCACTGTAATGTGTGTTGTGAGGTTCCCCACATAAAGTTGTTGTTGGAAAGGCTTTGTTAAATATCCATTTTCCAGCGACGACCAATACGCAATAATTACGCCTCCATTGTATAGCACCCAAACTAAGGTCAATGACGTTTAAATAACCTGAATATGCTGCTCATAAAGCAGCAAACAATTACCATATTGAGAATTTACTAAGTGTATTATAAATAATTTTTAACGGAATTAATTAAACATCCTAGTCGACTTTAGTCACGATTTCTAGATCCCTATAGAGAAAACAATATGCTATCAATTCGTAGTGAGTGAGAATGCCATATGTGTTGTATTTTACGTTAATTTTTGTTCTTTAAATAAAATCAGTACGGAAATCACATGTCAAAATATTTTATGTAAGAAATGTTGGCGTCATTGAACAATCTTCGCCCTTTCCCTAAAAATTTTAACTCTTAAAATTTTTTTGAATTGTAGATTTATCAACCTCAGAAGTGATATCATTTCGTAGTGATTCCCATTTCACACACTTTTGTTGGATACTTTTAGGAGGAAATAGTAAATTTTCCAAACAGGGCTTTGTTTTATAGATCCCTACGGCAATGTATCCTTGTGTCAGTGTCAAATGGCCCCGGTTCTTACAAGTTGTTGGTTATTAGTGCTTTGCGTGTCCTTTAAAAAGTGAATTAAGTATTTTATGAAATGTTAATCAATACAAACGCAGACTGAATAATATTTAATAAAAAAAAGAACAACAAATTGCTAGTAGAGACGAATTTGTTTATTTTTTGCCACAACAACAAAACGAACGGCACAAAAAATGCTGAAGCGTTGATTTCTGCCACATAAAACCAAGCAGCAAAACAACAAAACAAAGAAAAATTCAGGTAAAAAACTGTGATAAGGGTAAATTTGATATGACAACTACAATCTTGATTGTTGTTTCTATCATTCCAATAGAAAAAGTATTTTAAAGAAGTGAGTCCGTTGGCAAAAAGGACATTAAACCAATGGGCCTGCGCACAAATGCAAAGGAATGCCAAACGCAGTCGGCGGCGTCTGCTTCGGCGTCAGTCAACATGAATGTGCAACACCAGCAAGAAGATTTTGCAAAGAAAAAACAAGAAAGGGAACAAGAAATACAAGCCATACAAGAAATGTTAAATAATATAACAAAATCAAAGTCCGAAGAAAAAACGGATGCAAACGTCCAGAAATTCAAGGAAATGGAAATTAAGACTGAAATGCCATCGAAAGACAACAATATTGTGATCATGCGCAGAAGCAATACCGATCTTCAAATACAAAGGGCAACAACAACAAACAAACCTAATAGCCAAAAGCCAGTAAGTGGCGGCAGACAGTCACGCATAGATTCGGTTAGATCCCAAAGTGGGGGTAGTGCCAATAAAACACGTTCAAAATCATTGCAATTGCCGGCGACTAACAATAAAAATGTCAACTCCCACGTTTCCTCCACCAACAAGAAAACCTATGACCCTGAAGAGGCCAGGCGCTTCATGGAATTGCAAAAGAAAAAACGTAGATCGGAAGCTGCATTGCAACCAGATGCCAAGGCCAATCGGGAAAAAGAGGAAATTAAAAAACGTTTAGAGGAGTTAAAGAAAAACACCCGAAAGTTGGTTAGCAAAAATTTGGATAAAAAGAAACAAAAGAACTGCACTAATCGGTTAGATGGGGAGAAAATCAGCATTGAAAATAAGACCATCAAAAGTGATCGAGTTTCAAAGGAGAGTGTCAGTCTTAAAGGTTTATCCTTGGAACAAAAAACTAAAGGTCAGCAGAGTGCACGACCTGCAGGAGAAAAGCAAGTTACTGCTCAATCGGTTTCCCACAGCTTACCTCTTGCTAGTGCCTTCAAGTCCCATTTGCCGTTGGCTGAAAATCATAAACGTATTGGCCTTTTACGTAAAACTGAAGATGAGAAAGATTATTCATTCAGTGCCCTGAAAAGCATTCGGAATGACAAAGAAAATCGAGGCCTGGAGGAATTAACATCGAAATTAAATACCCAGTTTGAAAGTAAATTACAAAGGGATAAAGAAAATGGAAATGGAAATGAATTGAAACAAACTTCTCTGGAACTGAATATGCTGGATAATGTGTCCGATTTAGAAATACCCAAGAAAACTTTAGAAACAAGTCCAAAGAAGCATGACCTTGGGGCAGGGGAAATTAGCAATAAAGAAGACTGCAGGGGAAATCCTTCAAAATCCCAAGACCTACCCTTCTTGTTGCGGCCCACAGCTGCTCAAGTTTATCCTTACAATTTCATAATGGCTGTACGCCGAAAACTTGAGGCCATTTCCCAACCCACTCCCGTGGTCCCGATAAAACGGGAAAAGATGCTGAAAAATAGTCAGGCTACTTCAACAAATGATTTATTATTGGGAGAACACAAGGAACCGGAAAAGAAAAGAAAACTATTAGATAATTTGATTGAAAATGAAAACAAAAAACGAAAAAGCTTGGAGGGCTCGGATATTGCAGAAAAGAAGACTTTGGAGGGTGCTCCCAAAACCACACTTACCATGTCTCTGGAAAGTTTAAAATCTCCTCAACAAACTTATACCAAGGATTTCCATAAAGATACGGAGAAAATCGCATCGTCCCTAAATAAATCTTTTCATAGTTCTCAGGAAAAGACTTTCGACTCGGAACTAGAGTTGCTGGGGAAAATCAAATCTAAATATAAATCCGTGGAAAGTATTGTTTCCAATTATTCCTCCTCGTCGTTGCCTCTGCCCATATCCAATACTTTAACCGAGGTTTCGTCCCTTCGTACCGAATCCAGACGCACTTTTGCCATGTCTCAGGGAAATTCCAAACAAAGTCAATTGAATACCGAGGATGAGGTAACCTCTATTTCATCACAAATTTTTAGCAGTCCTGAAAAGAAATATTCAAAACAATATCAAAATGACTTTGAATTCGTAAAGCCGAGGCCAGTGAGTCCTTTGTCGCTAGAGAAGGTGGAAAATTTAAAGATTAAAAGTAAATCCAAAAACCAGGAAACACCAGGGGTTGGTGGTTCGAGGGACGAGGATAGGGAATTGCATTTCTCCCAATTGCTGGATGATTTTAATCGCAGCCTGTCCCAGGTGATACAAGTCAATGAACAATTGAAATCGACCTTAGACAAATCTTCACGGATTCTAAGTCCTCGTAGTAATGTTAGCAAAAACTCCCAGAAGGAATCCTCGGATAAGCAACAACAATACTCCTCCGATTTCGAAAATTCCTTATCCACAACTCCAGGAAAAGATAAACTTAAATTATCCCTTGAAAATACAAATGAAAAATTGAAGACACGTAAAAGGCAACTATTTCAAATGGCCAATCAAGTCAAGCCTTTGTTGACATCACCCCCAAGGGAATCTCCTCTGCCCCAATTAGATTTGCAATTGCAAGATAATTCCAACAATAGAAAAACTTCATCATATAGTCAAGATCAAGAAAATGAGGAGGGAGAAGATGAAAACACTTTGGAGGTGGATGAATTTGAACACCATAAAGTGGAAGAAATCGCCACAGAAAGTAAAGAGTACGAAAAACGTCTTGGTATGATTGAAAAACTCAAGGAGAATCTAAAACAAAACATTAAAGAATCGCAAAACAATCGGGCACATAAATCCAATGCCGATAGTTTCACAACATCGGTTCATAACAAAAAATCAAATATGTCTGTCTATACTTCAGAAGATGGCAGAGAAAATCTGCAAGAATTGAAAGCGAAATCATTTCCAAAAGAACCGGTGGAACAACACAGCTCAAGGGACAAACATTCTCAAATTGATTATGAAGATTGTAGAGATAAGGAGGACTTAATATTAAAATACACAAAATCTCTGCAAGAAAAAAATAGCAATGAAGAAACCATTATTCTATACAAACGTAATAAAATTGTTAATCCCAAAAGGAGTTCCAGTTCCAATGAAACCAAAAAAAGGGCCGCGGCCAGTGAAAGTTATGATTCGGTATCAAGTCAATCGAATGTGGAAGAGATAACTTCTTCTAAATACAGTCAACGATCCAACAGTAATTACACAAAAACCGAAACATATTCCATGAACTCCAAGAGTGAGATTATGACAGGAAGAGGTTCCAACAAAAATGAAGCGAAGCGTAACAGTTCAACAAATGAGCATTCCATTAACACCAATTCCTCTATTTTAGAAGATTTACAAAAAATTCAAGAATTTTCCAACAAAGAAAATGAAAATCCTCCACCTGCACCTTCGCTGAGTTGCAAAAATAAAACCAAATCACATTCGAAAACGGCCGCAAACTTTATTAATTGCCACATCAATCGGTCTCGAGGGGATTTTCAGGAACTCAATACCAAAGAGGCAACTTTAAATGAAACACAATTTCATTTGGCCATACGTTCATCACAAACAAGCTGCACTGAATTATCACAAAGTGCTGATGATGAAGTCACCACCACCACAACCACTGCCAGTAGCATTAAATCCATAATGAAGAAGCAATCAAATGACATTTCTTCAAATCCCCCAAGTTACAATGCAGTTTCCAAAAACAATCCAAAGTCACAGTCAAAGGAACACAATCCGAGTATAAGTCTGCTCTCACCTTCCAAGGCATCAAGGCGCATATCAATTGGTACGGAAATTGTAAATTTCTTTCATAAATATGATCATGAACGGTCCTCGGCAGCACTGCACCAAGGTAACGATACCATATCTGAGTCTTCGTTAAATTACTCAAATGTGGGTTTGGTAAGTTGTGAGCATTCTGCAATGTTTTGTTTTAGATTTTAATTGAAATCGTATTTTTAGTACGACAAACTTATTCAAAATGAAATGAACAAAACCCAACACTTAACTGCCCTTTTGAAAATGCGTGAAAAGGCCTTAATGGATCGTACCAAGGGTCAGATTGCTTGGCTAGAGGTTCAAAAGGCCCGTTACAAGGCCAAGGGTTTATTGGGAAACATAGCTGCCATTAAAAAGAAACAACGTGGCATACTATTGAAAATGGAAAAGGAACGGGAAGAGATCAAAAGGTAGGTGAATTGTTTTCAATTTTCTATTTTTTTTAATTTGCGTAAATTTGAACACTCGCTGTGCTGATATAAGAGCAGAAAGTGGTTCTAACCATTCGGACAGTGTAAAGTCAGTCGTTTTTATCGAGCTGAGTCTTTAGCGTAGAGCTAAGTGGAGTTATTGTTGACGAAATAGTCTTTATAGACGAGTTTGGGGGAGTCTTTATACACCAGCTGAACAGGTCTTTATGGACGAGAAGATGCCATCCGAAACCTTATGTCATCCAAAGTGTTGTTTAACTGCTACACTGTCCACTACATGTTCAGATAAATACTTACAACGATGGGCACATAGTTCCGAATAATAACTATCTCAATATTCTAGAGCTCACATTCGACGCCATGTTCAAGACGCCGATGTAAACCATAGCTATCTGCGATAAATTGAAAACTAGAAGCAATGTCCTCAAGGCGCTAGCCGGCAGTACCTGGAATGCGGATAAGTAGGCCTTTTTGATGTCTATGAAGCCTTAGGTCGTCAAGCTTTAAGTCATCCAAAGTGTTGTTTAACGGATACACTGTCCACTACATGTTCAGATAAATACTTACAACGATGGGCACATAGTTCCGATTAATAACTATCTTAAGATTCTAGAGCTCACATTCGACGGCATTTTCAAGTCGCCTGTGTAAATCATAGCTATCTGCGATAAATTGAAAACTATAAACAATGTCCTCAAGGCGCTAGCCGACAGCATCTGGGATGCGGATAAGGATGCCTTTTTGATGTCTTTAGGTCGGTCTGTGGTTGGCTTTGCGACTCAAGTCTGTGAATACCAGATATGGAGGACCATCGTTATAAGTGAGAGGCAGCTCTGAGTGGCATTTATACAGATGCAGTCTCAGATACTATTAACAATTACAGTGAATCTCGTCCTCGAAGTCGATTTTATCCATATGAAGTACTCTCTAAAGGCTATTCTTAAACAATAGTAATAAAAAATCCGAGTTTCTTTCAACTTTTACACAATTGCTTGCATTCTCCGCCCAACATAAAGTCCCTTAAGTCATTAGGGTTAGAACGGTTCGCCACACTCTTTTTGTTTTCATTCAATTCTGATACATTTTAGTGATTGAAAACATTTGCTTGTTTTTCAAATTGGAAATAATCTGCCATACCTTCAGACATCCTGTCATTTCGTCATCATCAACAACATCATCATCATCGCGATGGTCGTCATGCGGTGCATCATGTCGAAAGATGTGTCATTTTGTTTTCACTTGAATTCTTTTGGTTCCTGGCTGCTACTGTCGCTGTTGTTGTTGGTTTTCTGTTTGTTTTTCACCAATGTCTAGGAGTAATCATTAAGGCGCCAATTTGCAATTTGACGCAAATTTCTTTGAGTAAATTGTTTATATACACTACTGCTGCTGTTGTTGTTATTTCGAACTCACGATAAAATTAATGTACAAGACATTATCTTATGGCCAGACATTACCATTATCAAAAAGAAAATCACACAATCTTCCATTGCCATCGTTTCAATGGATTGGAATGAGCCCTACAAAGAGAACACACGACGAAATGTTTTTCAGTTGATTATATATGCTTGGATAGAATGCATTCGCCACCATCCAACCATAAGGATATACAAATTGCATTGGACCCTTCAGCCGCCACTAAGAACTGCTGCTAGAAAGTCACAAGCAAGTAAGCAAGCCATTCAAACAGCATCACCTTTATAATATATCATCAAGCACATTTTATAAGTGTGTGTGTGTGCGTGTCTCTGGGCCGAACTAGCGATACGTCGGGGGCTATACGCTTTACTATATATGATAGCCACAGAAAAAAGTGTCAGTGTAGAAGAAGATTTTCAAAATAATAGCCAAATCAACAGCATTAGTCGCATGGCCTTTTTGTCGTGGATTGTTTTTTTTTTCAGTCGTTTTGTGGGCGCCAACCATTTTTTGTTTTGTTTTGATTTTTTGTTTAGTTTGGGGGTTTTTCTTTTGAAATAAGTTTGATGTATGAACACAGGGGCCAGCACACACATCCGATCCGAAACGATCCGATCCGATCCGTGTGCCTACATATATACATGTGTTTTTTCTTCATTAATTGGCACGGAATCCAACTCATAAATAATGGGAAATAATAAAAAATAACACACACAACAACAACAACAGCAAAAACATCAGGAAAATCATCTAAATTGAAAAACGAACTATCACACAAACACTTAAATGGACACAGACACACAACACATCACAACACTTCGTCATGAGACATCATGAATTGTTGATATGTTTCTTTAATGATGATATTAAAATCATAAAAATAATAATTTTTTTAAATATTAAAATATGAAAAAATAGCAAAAAAAGAATGAATGTTCTTGGAGAGATGAAAACATCGACATGGTATAAAAACATCAAGCCTTTCAACACCTTATATCTATGTACATAAAAATTGACATAAATTGGAAGAGAAAAAACTCACTACAATAACGGCTGTGATAGTTATATATATATATATATATATATATATATATATATATATATATATATATATATATATATATAAAATATATACACTGGCGGCCAAAACTAAAGCAACTAAAATCGCAAAGACAATAAATGTCCTGTAACTTTTACAAAAATAAATAAAACGTAATTATTTTTCAAGTTTTAAATGATGTCTTTAATTCACTTTTAAGAAATTAAAAATAAAAAAATACAAAAATAATTTTGAACGAAAAATAATATATGGAAAACTAAAATGACCCAATTTTTGCTTGGTCAAAACTAAGACAACTTTTTGATTTTTTATTTTAAAATAATTAAATTTTGGCTAGTAGTCGATAGGATCCATTATTTTTGATAGGATCCTGCACGCCTATGAGGCATTGAATCTATAACACGCTCAATTTGATCCTTGGGTAGGCTTTCCCAGGCACCCCGAATTCTTTGGAAAATGTTGTGCTTATTTGTTTCCGAATCTCGATTGATCCTCCTGTCTACGATACTCCAAAGGTTTTCTGTGGGCATTAGATCAGGTGATTGTGCCGGCCATGACAAAACACCGATTTTTGACTCCCGCCACTAATATTTGACAAGTTTTGATGCAAGTTTGGGATCATTGTCATGCTGAAGCACCAAAGTGAGCCCAATATTTTACTCAGCGTAAGGGAACAACGTGATGTCCAACACATCTATGTAAACAAACCAATCCATAACTTCCTTTATTTCATGGATAGGCCCAAGTCCATAGAAAGAAAAACAGCGCCACGCCATTTTTAACCCTCCCTGTACTTTTGCAACACTGCGGCTTGAGTCTTTCATTTTTTGGTCTTCTCACCGTAAAATTTTTCACGTCTGAGCTTTTAATATTAAACGTAGACTCATCCCAGAAATAATGTTTTTCCATTGAACTGGATTCCACTTAATATTATCATTTCCGAAAGCCTTTCTGATTTTTTCAGATATAAATGGCTTTTTTGATGGCTTACGGGCATGCAGACCAGCTACCACTACTAGTCTACGCACTGCTCTCGGGCTTATATCCAATGATTGCTCTCTCACCAATCCAGTTGAACTCTTAAATGGCTGTTTTTTATTTCTCTCACAATTTGTTGATCAGTACGGGCTGAAGTTTTTCACGGCCTTCATCCGTTATAGACTGTTACTACTGATCTAGTTTCATAAAACCGACTTGGTATGCAGAAATATTTTTGAAATCACAGAAATATTTCTCGGAAATCATTTTCTGTGATATGTTGTTTTCATATTCACTGATAATTTGCTGTTTTATTCATGTACTGTATTTGCTTCTAGCCATTTTTAAACTTTTTTGGACAGTACTTAAAAAACGAAAAGAAAAACACATGCTGTTGTAAAAAACTTCTTAAAAAGGATTTTTGACTAGCGAAATTGTCGAAGGAAGCAAAAAGCGATAAATATAACAGTAAAAACAACTAAAAGTTCAGCGGTCATATGAATGTACAACAGAGTTGCTTTTGTTTTGTCCAAGCCAAAATCGGGTTAATTGACTTTACCATACATTATTTTTTATATAATAATGAATTTTGGTTTTTTGTTTTAGGTTTTTAAAAAGTGCATAAAGTACCCAATTTAAAACAAGAAAAACTTTCTCATTTTCTTATTTTGTAAAAAAGTTACAGGGCATTCATTCTTCTTCTAATTTCACTTGCTTTAGTTTTGGCCACAAGTATATATATATATATATATATATACATATATATATATATATATATATATATATATATATATATATATATATATATATATATATATATATATATATATATATATATATATATATATATATATATATATATATATATATATTATACCCTCCACCATACATATATTAAGTTCGTCATTCCGTTCGTAACACATCGAAATAATAATTTTAGAACCAACAAAGTATATATTCTTGATCAGCGTAAAATTCCGATCGTCCGTCTGTTGTAATAACTCTAGAGTAAAAACGAATAAAGTCATGAAGCTAAAGTTTTGCACCGATCTATATAGCCCCCATATAACGGTACCCCCGATATTCGGTATTTTGATGATTTTAAGCTTCCTTCCGAATGGTGGAGGGTATAAAAAGTTCAGCCCGGCCGAGAATTAATGACGTTCCAGGATAGACAATAATAAGGTAGTTATGTGCACTGAAGTAGATGGTCGACAGATGTCATGAGGAGGAGGTTGCTGTCTTAATGGCGGCTTTCTGGCAGGTCAATATACTACATAGCTCTTGTATTCTCAGATCACACTGTGGCCACATAGCTGATGGCATTATAAGAGGTCAGCAAGGTCTCCTTGTTCGTACCCCAAGTTCCAAGCGCTGCCGGCGAGCGCCTTGAGAACCCTGTTCCTACTTTTCAATTTATAGCAAATGTGACTTGTGACTTGCGCAGACGACTTGAAAAGGCTGTCGAATGTTACCCCCAGGATCTTGGGGAGTTCTCGGTCTGATTTAAAAGCCTCACGGG